GCACTTGCCAGAACTGTACCGAAGTAACTATTCCGTACTTCATTGTTTTCTATAGATGTAGAGGTGATTTCAATTGTAGGCGAAACTTATCTTCGAATTAGTGAAGCCTTCTGAAACCTGACCATTGTTTATAAAATGCATCATAATATAAATATTTCATTTGTCACATAATTATGTTTGACATTCTTGTTTTGAATTTCAGAAAATTAAGTCATCTTCCACTCCTCGAATTCTGCTTACATGTAAATTTGCTTGCCGAAAATTAGCTAAACGTTTCTATAGAACCTGTGTTGAACATCATATATTCTTCAAGTAAGCTTCTTTTTTAACCTTACATTTTGATTTATAAAATGTGGTATTTGTGATTTGATTTTATAAGGCTAGTTTATAAATGCAGTAGATGATGAAAGGTGAGAATTTCTCCACAGATGAGTTAACTAATTACCTACCTACCTTCGTTAGTATTTCCCTTTGTAGGAACTTTTCACTGACATTTTGTCTATTTTAAGCTGATCTACTAAAGTAATAAAAGCAGTACATAACTAATGAATGGAATAAGGAAATTTTTTGTTAACTTAGTCTTGTCAGTTCTATGTACACTTAAGATTCGATACCTTGTTTACAGCCAGTTAGTCGAATTTGTGAATATTGAAGTTGTGTAGTAACATCACTAATTGTTACAGAAAACATGTGCTTCATTGTCCAGGGAAAAGCTCTGGAGACGATTGTCGCGTGGTTACATTCAGGTGTTTAATTCTTTTCGTAAGAATCGTTTCGGCGAACCTGTAAAATGGTTCTGTAGCAATTTGTTTATACTTTTTGTTTTGTTGGGTAATTTAAAAATGAGCAATAATAATTCCCTTAGGTTCCAAGTAGAATAGGGCTTCAACAATACACCTCCTTTTCACTCTGTTCTCCGCAGTCCTTTTTAGCTGGTTCCTAGGCTGTTATCTCCTCCATGTCACCGTGTGACGTCAACCCTATCGGTGGTTTCCTATCCGGGTACCACTCAATGGCCTGGCACGTTATGTCACTCAGCGATCTTCCCAGCGTGTTCAGTCCATCTCCATTCCCTTCGACATATTTGTTGGGTGATAGGTTCTTGGTTGGTTTGTTCCCAGAGTTCCTTGTTTCTTATTCTTTCTGGTCAAGCCATCTGATCTTCAGTATGAAGCGAATAGCATCTGTTAATCAAAGTCTGCTGCCGCTTGGAAATGCTTTTCGTGACCCGCCAAGTCTCTAAAACCATATAGAGGCGCTGAGTAGACATTAGTGTTGAAAATTCTAATCTTGTACAGCAAATTTCCACATTGATTTTGGATTAACGAATGTCTGTTCTCTTTTTTCTATCCTGACTGGCTTCGACATCCTTATCCGTAGTTGAAACGATGCTACCTAGATAGGTGAAAGAAGCGACTTCTTTCAGATTTCTCTCGTCGATAGTGCTTGTTGTTATTGTTGATGGTTGCGGTTAAATATCTTCATCATCTCTGCCTTCTCTGTATTCACTTGAAGTTCTGACTTGGCTTTTTTTTTCTGCCAACTTATTTCACCTGTAAGTCCTCGGGTTTGTGTGACATTAGACCTTTAATCATTCGCCAAGTCCAGATCTTCTAGTGTCTTTTTCTTAGTCCAATGTATGCCTGTCTTCTCGATCGCCATGGTCTTCCGCATGATCCAATCCACCACAATCAGGAATACCAACTGGGATCTGCTGTTTTTTTGGTTCGTAATTTGGAAAGATTAATATACGGTTTTAGTCAGATAGCCTTACGACAGATTTCTTAAGCGATACATTGTATAGGAATTAAAAGTTTTTTTGTTCTTTTCTTCTCGGTCAAAACCATTTTATATCTACTAAAATTGTATAGATAGAAGCCTAATCGAAGAAATTCCTTGTCGTCCTCGACTGTTCCTCATAATCAGTTGGTTCATCTTATATCAAGGCGTGGATTATACATATCAAAACTTTTAATCCTTGGTTAATATTATCTAATGTCTGTGTATCACATTCAAAATCCTTTGGATAACAGAATTCCGACGAATGCATTCATTAGTTGATATACGTTGCATAGTTTGACCACCGGTGTTTAGTTTAAGGACAGGAATTGAAATAGGTTGAATGTATTGATCACTATCTTTATTTTGAGAGTTGTATAAGTCCTGGCGAGCTGATTGTTGACTAAATGCCAACTCGGATACAAAAGCATCGTGTGGCATTAGCTAATTTACATCATCCGGGGCATAGATGTGATACTTGGTTATCGATCAAAGGGCGTATGCAGTGCTCAGTAATTCTCTCCGTCCTTCTTTATATCTGTTGAAAGTGCGAGACTTGAAGAGGTTAGCCGTTTCTAACCACAGATGTTTATGCTATTTCGCTTACATTAAGTGGTATAAAATACTCAGCAATATTGAGGTTAAGCGTAAAGTGTTAGGTAGTGAAGGCAAGTCAATCTATCAGATTTTGAGGTTGCATCGATTGAAAAGGCTAGAACACTCGCTAAGCATGCCAAGCCGTCATCTTCCTTATAGAGCAAATGTTAGCTGACATAAAATTGGGTTGAAATAGACTTTTCTTTTCCTTCACGTTCCCCAGTGGAACATAGGGCTTCAAGCTAGTGGCTTGAAGTTTCTTTAGCAGTGTTTATTTTACAGGATAGGGTTGCTAGCCTCATGTTCAACCTTTCCTCTTCACCAGCATTATTTCTGGCTTAGTGAGGTAAAGCAGTGCGTTAGCGGCCGGGGATGGAACCCCGGACCATGTGCATGGTCGGCGAGAGTCCTAACCGCTATGCCACTGACGCTGAAAAAGACTTAAGGGTAATCAAAAAAACATGGAATCAATCCATTAAGTCTATAACTGTTGCTCCAGGCCACGTAAAAGCAGGTAGACTGCCTGTTTGGGGTCTGTGAGACACTATGAGTCAGTTGCTGGAGCTTGTTGGTGATACGGTTTAAAATTGCTCTGACTGGTGCAGATGTTCTCTTTATCAACGCCTAGATCCATCAAATTCTCGTCATCCTCCTTGCAATTATTCTCTAGTCCGTACATTTCCATGTGTAGTATAGTTTCTTAGCATTTCTTTTCGCTGTCTGTATACATTCTTTCTGGAGCATGGCAACTTGAAGTGCTGCACTTCTAAACAAAATTCTACATTGTAGCTCAGTCAGTCATAGTTTGACCCGGATCACGGATATTGGTATTGTCTTTTGTCGTCAGTTGGCTAATAGGAGTGTTTTCTATGTTTTTTTGTTCACTAAATGTTACTAGTTATCGGTGATTTAAATATGGAACTAATCCATAAAGGCAGGCATAATTGATTCTGGGATTTGTATGGGTATATTGAAGCGAACTTGCAAACTTTTAGTACATGCATATTATAATTAATTTTATTTGTGCGAATGCATTTTGGTTTATGTCTTTGTTGGTGAGATATCTCCTTTCTTTAAAGCTTGTATGAATGTGTAGAATCACATGTTTTTTATTTGCAGAGTGTCTTTTTGAACAAAAATTAAATAGGAATTTATTTTACCGCATATTTATTTTAAAGTACAATTTCTTCCATATGTGAACAAAGCATGTTTGATTATGCATTAAGAGAGAGAGATTACTTTGCATGTATGTGTTTGTGGTGTGTGTGTATTGGGATTTTTCTTTAACACAAAATACTGTCTATTCTTCTTCTACGATCTGGTAGCTTTTGTACAAGAAAATCTATATTGTAAGCTAACATTCTTGTAGTATTTAATCTCAGGAGCGCTTAGGATTGTTTTTTTGGTCAGGTGATGTATCCTATTCTGTAACAGCTGTCTAACACAATCTGTTCATTTCAATCAGGAGGGGGGGGGGTGTTTAAAAATATAAAATGTGATATAATGTCAACTACTAAACAGAGTAAAGGTTGCTTTACGTCCAAAATGAGGTAGCATAGTGACACATAAGTGTTCGATTTCAGGTGTTAGCTACTGAATATTTACTGAGGATATCAAACCTAAGGTTGACACTCTGTTCCCACTCGAAGGCCTGCTTTGTGATGTCAGTGTGTGTCCAGCCTATCCCGGGTTATTGAAGAAAAACTATACCTTATTACGCAGGATGTTAATGGTTGTCAGCAGAGTAAGCAACGTGCCGCTTAACCAGCTTGTTAATATTCTGGTTGACAGGTACATGGACTCATGTGAAAAATGGGCTAAATCCATTTTATCTAACTCACACCACCCTCTTCATTCACAACTCTCCCCTTTCATCTCATCAGGCAGAACCAGAAGCCTATATAGAAAACTATATGCTCGCAGTAGCAGGTACAAAACTCAACCATACACTACTTAGTTCGTGTTCTGTGCGATAAAGAAAGCATTAGGCATGATGCCTATAACTTATTAAATAGTCAGCAGAACAACTGGATCTCGTCTTTCCAACTCATATCATTTATAGGTACAACGCTTTCTTTCTTTTCCTTTTCTCTCTCTTTTTTTTCTGTTATGTGCTGCTTTGTTTCTTTCTTCCGCTTACGCCAGTAAATATGCTAGCACCTACTTTTCTAACACCTTCAAACACTTTTCAATCTTGGCTTGCTACCGATATGCTAATATGTTGTTGTCATAATGAACTGAGATTGCCTTGATCTATGTGGAATTCTATTTATTGGTAATGTACTAACTGGATGCAATACTGTAGTAAAAATGCTGAGAATTCCATTCTGTATCGCAAGTACTGTTTTGGAATAAAGCAAATTATTATTAGTAGTAGTGGTATGTTTTTGGCAAATTAACTGTCTTCTATAGTTCCTTGTTGCTTATGCTTTTTGACCAGTCACCTAATCATCAGTATCAAGCGACGACTGGTTGTTGGAAATGCCTCTGATAACATGCACTCCAAGTCTCTGGAGCATATCGAAGCGCAGTGACACTTGATGTTAGTGTCGAAAATTTGGATCTTGTTCGTTATGCCAAGTGATGTAGTTCTCCACACTGATTTAAGAGTGGTGAATGCCGCTTTTTCGCTTCCTCACTCCTCACTGGCTTTAACACATCCTCATCTCTGTCGCCTATAATTGAGGTAGTACTGCTTAAGTAAGATTTCTCCCCTTGATAGTGATTGGTGTTTGTTGTAATTTGGTCGGGTATCTTCGCCTCCTGTGTCTTCTCTGTATACACCTGAATTTCTGTTTCGGCTGGCTCTTCTTCCAACTCGTTGGTTCTCACCTGAGTTTACCTAACTGTGAACAGAGAAGGGTGTAACTGGAGTTGACCATTTCCATGTGTTATAGTAAATTTAAAGTGTATATTATCTGCGCTTAATGATACCTGTGAAAAGTTTGTGCATTGAAGAATGAATCCGTTTATTATGAGTATCTTTATATATTTAAATAATACAAATCAAACAATTGGTCAGATTACGGAAGTAATTCTACTCGAGGTATGACGTAAACAACCATTATACATATACTTGAAGTATATTCACACTTGTTGTGTTTACCTTCTTCTAGCTCTAAATTTGTTGTAATTTTTAGATAACTCTTAATTGTTTGAATAAATAAATAAATTTGTACTTCGTATGATTTTGTCCTTCTAGAATGCATCAAAATCGTTCGTTTCTTTCGAATACAATTAAAGAACAACCGTTGAAACCTCAATCTCTTATCCTACCTACACGTCAAAACTTACGAATCGGTGATGAATCGAATCCCTCAGTATCTATAAATGGACCGTGTAGTATTGATTATTTATCCGTCAGTGATTTACAGTCACCGAAGTTACCAACGACGCCTACACGCTCAGAATCAGAAATAGGTATGTTATCATGAAGCTTTCTTCTGACGGTTTACTTTTACTGATAAACACTGAAATACAAAGGCCTAACAGTTTGACTTAATTCTCATATGTATACAGTTATTCACAACTCGCTATTACCCCTTTGTGAACTTGATAAGCTTTATGCATGAGTTGTTGATTGGGTAGCTATTTGCAATACTGTTGTCACTGTTCATACCATTTTTTAAAATTTATTTCATAATAATGATACAGAGTCAACTGGATTGTTCTCTGAGACGGTTAACTTGTTCGTCGTATGTATTTTAATTCCCTTGCGTTCCGAGTGGAACATAGGGCTTCAACAACACATCTCCACTTTGTTCTGTTTTCTGCCATCCTCTTCAGCTGGATCCACGATTGACCAAACTCTCTCATATCTTCCTCAAACGATCTCCATGTCACCTTATCACCTATGACCCACTCGTCGCTTCCCATTTGGATTCCACTCGAGGACCTGGCATGCGATGTCATTCGGCGGCCTCCTCAATGTATGCCCTATCCATCTCCACTTTTTCCTATATATTTGTTGAGCTACCGGCTCTTGGTTGGTTTGCTGCCAGAGTTTCTTGTTGCTTATTCTTTCTGGCTATTTGATCTTCAGTAGTATGGAACCATTGAAGGCAGCTGTTGATGAAAGTCTGCAACCTGTTGGAAATCCTTTTCCTGACATGCAGTGCAAGTTTCTGACCCGTATAGAAGCACTGGCTGACTTCACATTTGTGTTGAAAATCCGAATCTTGTTCTTTATGCTGGCTGAGTTAGTGCAGAAGATTTCCAAACTGGTTTCAAGTTGATGAGGACGTCATATTTGTTCGTTCTGCCTGTAGTTGAGACGATGCTTCCCAGATAAGTGAAGGAGATGACCTCTTTTGAATCTCTCCTGTTGATGGTGATTGGTGCTGGTTGTTGTTGCTGTTGATTGGTTATCTTCATCACCTCTGTCTTCTCTGTGTTCACCTACAGTCCTGTTTTCGCTACCTCTTCAGCCAGTTTGTTGGTTTTCGTCTGCAAGTCTTCGAGTTTGTGTGACATTAGACATATATCATCTACGAAATCCAGATCTTCTAGAGTCTTCTTATCGGTGGTCCAGCGTATTCCTGACTCCTCGCCTCCAACAGTCTGACGCATAATCCAGTCCACCACAATTAAGAATATCATCGGTGATAATAGACAGCCAGCCTTGTCTTACTCCTGTATGCACTTCGAATGCCTTGCTGAATTTTCCGTTGTGGACCACTTGACACGTGACATTGTCATATAGCTGTGTGTATGTGGTTATATTATTTTCCATTACTTGTCTTGTTTTCTTCGGTTGTACTTTACGTTTCTATAAATGATTCATAAAATGTCTTCTATTCCTTTGTTCGTTTCCCTTAGCCGAATTCATGATTTCATCAAATACTGAAGTAAATCATGAGTTTCCTACACCATCTATACGTCATTCACAAGTGGATATACAGCCTCAAGTGAACTTATATACCATTGAAGTAAGCCTGTCTTTTCTCAATTTTCACTTCCTTTAAAGTGAATACATTTCTATAAATAATCTATGATCATTTTTGACTATTAGCAAATGTCAATTCACGACATAGCGCGACCGCTAGCCAATGTCTTCAGTGAGCATTTGTCCTCACACCCAACCTGCTGCACCCTACTGGCTACGAATTCCCACTAGAGCCCCAGGTAGCTGCCTACCTGAATACGGCCAGTCGCTAGTGAGCATCTCATTGATTTTCAAGTATTGGTTTGTAGGGATTCGATTGATTGGTTACAGGATTTCATCATGAGCTGACATCGTTTAGAGAACCATTGGAGAACCGTAGGTAGTTAACTGAGGTTCTAGTGGGAAGTCGTGACCAGTAGGGTGCGGCAGGTCGGATGTGAGGACAAATACTCGCCGAAGATATTAGCTAGTGGTTGCGCTATGTCGTGAATTGGCAGGAGTCGGAATTCACGGGCTGGCCATTGGATTGGGTCCCAGTGGCTTAATGGTCTACGAGCTCGCTGGCCTTGTAACCAGAAGGTCCTGGGTTCGAACCTCAGTGAGTGCGTGCTGATGAAGAGTCCCAAACAAGGACGAAACAACCGTCCTGTACCCCCAGGTTTTCCAATGGTTCTCTAACTGATGTCAGCTCATGATGAAACCCTCCAACCAATCAATCAAATCCCTAAAAATCAATGCTTGAAAATATTAGCATATGTATTGAACGTGTGTACGTGAAGCTAAATTTAATTATTTCTGGTTATTTGTTTTCGGTACTCGTCGACATTTACCTAAAACGTCTGGGGAACTTTTATTACTTTCAAATTAAAACTTCTGTCATTCAGTGCTGCAGTCAATGCTTTTATCGTCAAGTTATTTAAGTCACTGACTTTGTTACTGGTTGATTTCGGTTTGTAATCGTAAGTAAGGAATAGGAGTTCCCCCAGAGTTGTTGATGGGTTCTGGCAGACACGAAACACGGATGGGATAGTTATTCTTTCTATTCGAATCTTAATACCTACAACCAAAAGGATAAAAATTGCTCTACAGTGTCCAACAGTACTCGATTTTGTGCCTAATTGTGATACTTTTAAGCAATAATTTTTTTTATAAAGTAATCTGATTACTTAATAGGTTCATGTTCAAAATCTGTAAATTTCTATGGATCAGCGAACGTTAAAAGAAATTCCTTTCTCAATCATGAAAACTGCTTAATTTCTCATTGATGATTTGCACTTTAGCGGTTTCTTCGTAGGCCGACTCACCTTATCCAACATTGTATGCTAAATGTCAGCATCTTCATGTTTCAGGTTTCATTATGAGTTGAGGTCAACAGCATTCAGCGTCAAAAATAAGATCCGGATTTTCAACTCCAATGTGAAGTCAGTACTACTATACGGATCAGAGACTTGGCGTGTCACAAAGAGCACCTCAAACAAGCTACAGACCTTCATTAACAGATGTCTTCGCTCAATACTCAAGATCAGATGGCCGGCCAGAAAAGATCAGCAACAGGGATCTCTGGCAATGAACGAACCAACCCATCAGGAACCAACTGTGCAACAAATAAGCAGGAAGAAATGGAGGTGGATTGACCATACTCTGAGGAAACCACCAGGTGATAACATCACAAAACAGGCCATCGCTCGAGTGGAACCCGAATGGGAAGCGGCGAGTTGGTGGTCAGTGCAAGGGTGACATGGAGGAGGTCATGTGAAGAGGAGATGAAAGCATGTGGGCAGACGTGGAGCCAGATGAAAACGTTGGCAGAGAACCGAACGCAATGGAGATGTGCGGCTGAAGCCCTATGTTCCTCTAGGAATTAAAGGAAATAATAATAATACATGAGTTGACATCAGTTGGAGAACCATTGGAAAACCAGGGAGTACTGGACAGCTGTTTCGTTCTACTTTGGGACTCTTCATCAGTACGCACCCACTGGGATTCGAACCCAGGACCTTCCGGTTACAAAGCGAGCTCCTAGGTTTTCTAACTGATCAAACCTGTAACCAACTAAATTTTCATGTTTATCTGCCTGGTGCGAGCAACAGAATGAAACCACCTGTGGGCATAAATTGGTTATCTTTTTGCGTTTTCTACTTACACTGTCCATTTCACAGTTATAAAGTTAGACATAGTCTACTGCTGCATGGTAATCACTGTCTTTGATACTCAGTGAAAATATCACATCCAAGTTATAGATGATATAAGTAGGTGAACTCGAAACTTGCCTTTGTATCCGTACTGGGATTCGGTCAGAAGTCATTCCATTAAGACCTGTATAACTACGTGAAATAAGTAAATTGTTCAACATATCCACTATGATTTGATGTTGATCATTCTTACAACACCATGCTACATTTGATAAGGTCGAAGTGCATGTCGAATATATATAAGCTTTTTCTCAAAGTATTCAGTTGACTGGACTTTCTAGCTTTTTATATTGTTCGCTTACTTCGAGTCAATTGGACGTTTCCCTGACAAAAAAGTCAATTCCTGAGACGCAGAAATCATCGACACATTTATAGTAAAATCTAATAAGAGTGCTGATATTAGGCTTCTCTAACACACGTCGCTGATTTTCTTGTAACTGGTAACTGTGAGTTTTTATGGGTCTTATACATAAACGCACATGCTATCAGGGTGTAATGCAATTATGAACTGCATATCTGATTAGTGATCATTCATATTGTTAAAGTAATGTCAGTAGACAAGTGTTGAGTTATTGTTGTCTAACTTAATGCAGGATTTACACTCGGTTTACTTATTTTGTGCTCACTTTCACTTAATTAGTTTCTGTCTAAATACGATTGCTCATTTTCCATGTGTATATCTATTTTATCGCATATTTAGAAGACGTATTCCACTGAACACTTAGTGCCATCTACTTCTTATGCACCGTCTGCTAGGAATGCTTCATATTTCCAACTTGATACTAACTTAGGCAGTCATATTACCAGTCCACCACTGGAATGTTCCAGTCGCGTAAATATCTTAAATGTCACTGCTGAAGATGATCACTACAGATCTCCAGAAATTCAATTCTGTGAATGTATGCATATATCAGAAGAATTGAACTTAAATCCTGAAGATCATGTGCATCAGTCTACTTCAACTCCGGCTAACACACAATTATCATTCAGTCTGGATGATGAGTGAGTTTGTAACAAATTTTTTTTGTGATTGTGTTTAAATAAATCTTTAAATATTCCCATTTTTAATATTAGAACAAGACATATAAGCGAACAATATTGTTTTCAATTAGATCTTCTTCAGGCTTTACTCTAATTTACATAGATTTATATATAAAATTTTAACCAATGACGGTGATTTTGTGGATCAAATAATAATAATAATAATAATAATAATAATAATAAGTGGTAAATGTTTTGAACGTAGTTAATAACGATGATTATAATGATAACAAAATATTGATAATAAGGTTTATGCAGGTGGCGATAAGAATAACGAAGGTAGGTAATATGTGTATATGTAGACAATTCAATAAATAAATTAGGTCAAATCTTAAAAGTTACGTAATACTAAGAGTGAAGTGGACAGATAATCAGAGTTTAAATAAATATCATAAAAGTACGAAGGAGATGGAAAATAAGAAAGGGTGGGAGGGTTTTGAATAGAATTCACCTAGGCCAAGGGAGAGACAAAAGTAGAACAAACTTCTTTTGTATGCAAAGACTAGGATTATTCTCTCGAATTCCCATAGCTTCGACTATGTGTAAAAGACGGGTTCGAATTCCGTTCGAAAGGCTCGATGGAATGCGATAGATAACTTTGAAGGCACTATTTTTGTCCACTTGGTGACCGCTATCAATCAAATGAGCCAAAATAGAACTTCTTATAGATTTTATTTGACCTTTTCCGAACCATGAAGGAAGATGCTCATTAATGCGTTTGTTAGCTGTCTAATGTTGTCAGTGATATTTTTGTTACTAGGATTTTTCTGCAGCATTTATCTGCTACTAAAGGGATATTACTCATATTTCCCAGGTTAAAACGTCTACTATTCAATTGCGCAGTAAAATACATCATAACTGAGTCTTTACCCAAATGGATTAAAATCTGGCAATTCTTTGTTTTGTTATAGGTGATGATTCTCTGTGGTTTAGAAAATAGACAAAAACTGAGGTTAATTCAATCTTTTTTTCAGCCGAAATCTTGATCTACTTAGATAAATTAGGATCTATTCGAATTCTGGTTCATAGGGAATAAAAAGACAGTTGTAGCGAAGAAAATTTTCTTTTCGACGAAGTCATCATCTAGGCTGTACATTCGTGTATTTATATCAAATGGATGGGAAAGTTCCAGAATAATTCCCGGTTAAAGGTCGAATTAATAAAATTACAATTAGGAATTAGAATGCCATAATAAACAGGGGGACGGATAAAACTCAAACAAAGTAGCATAATAACTAAGAAGATTGACATTGTGCAATTGGGGGTTAGAAATGTAGAAAACTAATGTGATGAATAATTGTTTATGCAATCAGGGATTAAATATGTAGAAATAGTAAAATGACAAAACAGACAGGAAGTTTGGATATGAAAATATGGTAGTGTAGACAGGGATTAAGAAAAACTTAAAATAACATGAATAAACAGGAAGTTTAGATAAGAAAGGCGATGGGATGGTCATTACTAAAAAAAAGAAATTTACCTGTTTATGATGGCCTTGGCAGGGACAGGGGTTGGACGTATTTCTTTTGGATACAAAGTGTGGGTTTGAGCTTTTGGATAGCTAGCGCCTCAGCTATGCCCAGATGTCTTGATTTTACTCCCTTTGATAGGTTTGATTGAATCTTGTATATTACTTTGAAGGATTTTTCGAAAGGCGCTGAATGTCCTGAGTTGACCAGATGTTCTGTCACTGAACTGTATACACGTTTTTGGTCTCCTTTTACTAGCCAGGCTGGGTAGTGTTCGCGAATTCTGGTTCAAGCATAATTTTATTTATGTGCATAGTCCAGTAAAATGTTGAATACACTGGACATTAAATGATTATGTGATTCTTACTTGTAATTGTTGTTTAGCAGATTACTTATTTGGACTCTAATTCTAATCACTCCCACATACAGCTCGACACTAAACTAACCAGTCACATATACCGTAACTCCAAAATGCATTTTAAAAAATGGAAAGCTGATTGAGAAAACCCATAATTTCGAATACCTATCTAATAATACTAATAATAAAGCCTGATTTCAGGCATTATGTGAGCATATAGTACAAAAAATTTTCAGCGTATTTAGTTCCGAAGTATTTTGTCTTCATACAGGATTTACATGTAAAGTAATAATCTGAAATTTACCATGTGACATAGTGTTGTTGCATATGAAGAGAGAATCGATTCTATGCATTCTTTATTTATTTCCTTCAAGAACTGCACAGCGTTTAGTTGAAAACCAATTAAATGTGTGCATGAGTTTATGTAGTGATCATCTGACATAGTTGCATGATCAAAACAATAAGAAATGCAGAAGAGTTTATGCATTTTGATTGGTGGAAATTCGGGTATCCCAGTGATTTAAGCAAGCCGCCGAAGAATGGATATGTGAAAAGAACAATAAGTTCAGTAAAAATATCAGTTTTGGCGATTTGATCTTATAGATATGTGTATGCATTTTCACCTTGTGCAATATGTTTGATAGGAGCCAAATAAATGGTTTTACTCTCAAATCAGTGGTGTGGTTTATTTACTCAACGATCATTTCTCAGTGTTAAGCCTATAGACAATAAGAGATCGAAAGGTAAACAGGTTTATAGTGGCCTACTATAAAATAATTACGAGTTGATCACGGATTGATATCACTTAGAGAACCATTGAAAACCAGGGAGTACTGGACATCTGTTTCATCCTAGTTTGGGAATCATCAGCAGTGCGCACCCACTGGGGTTCGGTTACAAGGCGAGCTTGTATACCATTCAGCCACTGGGACCCGATTCAATGGCCAGTGCATGAATTCTAACTTCTACCAATTCGTGATTTAGCGCTACTGGCACCAACCAATGTCATCGGTGGGACATCCATCCTCACACTTGACTGGATGGACCTCACTGGTCACGATTTCTCACTAGAACTCCAGAAAACTCCGTCTTGTAGCAAGTCACTAGCGAGTATCAGATTACTTTTCAATAGTTGGTTTGTTTTTACGATGATTCCCGAACTAGGATGAAACAGCTGTCCAGTACTCCTTGATTTTCACTTGTTCTCTAACTGATATCAATCCGTGATCAACTCGTTAAAACAAATCTAATCCTTACAAACCAACTATTGGAAATATAAAATAATTCCCATTCTTCTGAAGTGAATATACTAGTTTGCCTAAATGTATAATTTTCAACGATTTATTCTTATTCTTAGTATACATTCCTTAAGTTCTCAGTAAAACATAGAGTTTCAACGGTACACCTCCGACTGAGCTGACTGACTGGTTTCAACATAGAACTTTGCACCGATGTGCAGCAGTTCGAGTCGCCTCAATTCACTCAGCACACAAAGCAACAGAAGAAATTAAAAAGAAACGCAAAATAGAGACAGTAAACAGAGATATGAGGCAAAAGGAATAGTAATATCGAAGAACAATATAGTTTCATTGGGTATTATAAGTCACAAGGAGAACGATTTTGAGCCATATCGCCAACTGTCCCCAGCCTTCATTGGTTTTTACCGTCCCGAGGACCCCAACCAGGAAGTCTACACCTTCCTACGTGGCTTAGACTAACTGTTGTGGATTTCATTGACTGATACCATGTTTTGGTTTGACCACCACTGACTCTTTTCCAACCTGAGCCTATGCGTAAACCTCCAATTCACTCGATTCTATGCCATCAGTTTTAATAAGCTCTTCAATCTCCCAGAAATTTTAAATTTTTTCGGCCTTGATCTTCTTATTTTTGCTATTGTTGCAGTTTCATATTTCTGTATTTTTTTTTACAGTGCTGTCAATGATTCATTACTCATGCCGCCAGAAAATTCCAATTTCGAATCATCTTCTAATGAAGTTTGTGAAACTTTATTAAACTGCAGAATTTCTAATATGCAGTCAGTGGATACAGATCCAATAAACTGTGACAGTTGTTTACCTACTGGTGTAGGTCACTGTTTGCCAACTTTACAGAATGTTTCAACCTGTACGCCTTCTTCACAAGTGAGTTCAATAGCGTTGTTTGATGAAATTTCATTTTCTGTGGATATAAGTTAACAAGCAAATTATTTGTCTAATTAAAATTGAATTTATTTCATCTTTTTAAGCAGCTTAATAAACCCAGAGATGATATTCTCTATCCGTAGAATATCGGACTTTTCGAGCCGTCATTGCACAACTTTTGGTCAAAATGCAGTAAACAAATATTTTAACGCTGTGTAACCGATTAGTCATACTTGTCGTCTGAATTCTAATGTCAGTTGTAATGTGAGAATTGATACAGATGAACAGTATCCAATACAGTCCTACAGGAGGTCAATCGCGGGCCCGAATAGCTCAGTGATAATGTCTCTGACTGTAGCACTAAGTGACCCGGCTTCGAATCTCAGAAGGGATATGAGTTCCTTCAAGGTTGCGGATACGCCTTGATGACTGGTGAATGCCAAGTAGCATGCGACCTAGGTCGAAGGCTTCCTTCCGATTGCCTCCAACCATCTTATTATTATTGTTTCCTTTAGTTCCTAGAGGAACATAGAGCTTCAGCCGCACATCTCCATTGCGTTCGGTTCTCTGCCAACGTTTTCATCTGGCTCCACGTCTGCCCACATGCCTTCATCTCCTCTTCACATGACCTCCTCCATGTCACCCTCGCACTGACCACCAACTCACCGCTTCCCATTCGGGTTCCACTCGAGTGCCTGTCTTGTGATGTTGTCACCTGGTGGTTTTCTCAGAGTATGGCCAATTCACTTCCATTTCTTCCTGCATATTTGTTGCACAGTTGGTTCCTGCTGGGTTGGTTCGTTCATTGCCAGAGATCCCTGTTGCTGATCTTTTCTGGCCGGCCACCTGATCTGGAGTATTGAGCGAAGACAGCTGTTGATGAAGGTGTGTAGCTTGTTTGAAGTGCTCTTTGTGACGCGCCAAGTCTCTGATCCGTATAGTAGCACTGACTTCACATTGGAGTTGAAAATGTGGATCTTATTTTTCATGCTGAGTGCTGTTGACCTCCACACAGACTTGATAGTAATGAAAGCTTGCTTTGCTTTCCCGATCCTTGCTTTGATATCCTCGCCAATTCCGCCTGTAGTTGAAACGATGCTTCCCAGGTAGGTAGGTAAAGGAGGTTGCTTCTTTCAGATTCTTTCCATTTATGCTGATTGTTGTCTGTTGTTGTTGTTATTGCTGTTGGCCAGGAATCTTCATCACCTCCAACCATCTAATATCGACAATTCAAAGGTTGAACAGATTTGAAATTGTGAACTAGTAGTTAAGAGTCAGTCGTTTGAATAATTGTCTGCAGCTAATCCTTGTTGCCTAGGCATTTCTAAAAGATCCACATATGATATTTCCGCTATTTGAATTTATTGTCGATATAAGTATAAAACTTGGGCACTGTGGTAGAGTATAACTCCATTATTTATTGTCTTCAGTATTTCCAATTTCAATTAGATGGATCATGTCCACTACGAGATGTCATTTCTAAATTCACCTTAGCAACACTATAAATTTGCAGTGATTTAATTTTAATGACCCTGTGTAGTATAAAAATAATATTCATCATTTTTCAGTTTAATTCCTTTTACTGATGCGTTTATATGATTTCGTTGAATTCAGTAGAATACATCATGTCTATAAAATGTACCATCGGATTTTACTTTTAAAAGGATATCTACAGTGATACGGATTGCCTTGTTCACTTATAAGTTTATTTCTAATATTTTAATGACATTAATTTGTCTTTGGCATCAAATATAATATGGTTTACGCATGTTGGGTGCACTTTTCCTATCAAAATCTTTTGTATTTCTGCGCGAACTACTAATGAGTAGTCTAACTTTTGGAAAATAATTACTCAGTGAATAATAATACCTCATCTTTACTTCCATGAATAAGAAACATGTATCTAGAGTTTCCTATGCTCTTGCAGATATAAATACCTTTCATTATTCAGGGATTTCACATGATCCTACTTCTCAAGTGTTATAGATGTTTTTGGGGAAATGTCCTGTAGTTTTGGCTAGTATATCTTATAATGAAGAAAGTGGAAATCAATTCATAATTCGGTTTTCATTAGAAGTGTGCTATACGTAGTTTATTGACTGAATTAGACAAATTTTTGATCATGTCACCAATGTTCTCCAACCATTGATATTTTAAAATCTAGAGGACCTCAGTCGGACAGTTTACGTCTGTCTACGTGGCCGAGACGATCAGTGGAAGACTTAATGGGTTGATTCTTTGTTTTGTTTTGATCACCCTTAACTGTTTTCTAATCCAATCATATGTCAGCTAACATTGCTAGATAAGGAAGATGATGGCTTGTAACGTGTCATAGTCATTTGAATCGGTGTAAACTCACAAAATAACCGGCTGACTTGCCCTCCTTAACTAACACTCAACGCCTAACCTCAGTATTACTGACAATATCGTACTACTTAATATGAAAGATACGACATAAACATGTGGTCAGAGACAGCTAGCATCTTTACATCCAGTGGCGGTGACCACATCTAAGTTATAAGAAGGACAGAGCAAACTGCTACGCATTACACAGATCCTTCGATCGATAGCCGGATATCACATCTACGCCGGAGATGGTGTAAGTTATAAAATTTCGAACGTGCCGTTTGTATGCATGCTGAAATTTCGTCAATTTAGCTTTGTCAGTTCACTAGGGCCTGTGAAATTCTGCAAAGAAGTGAAGTCAACTTGCTCAATCACCTGTATTCCTATATTCCAACTAGGAAGTCGGTACCAATCAGTCCTGTACTATTGTCTTACATTTGACGAGTGAATCACATGACATACAAATGAGGATTTTTTTTTCAAAGTGTTCAGCGGACTCTGCATTTTGTAAAAGATAATATCGTCTGCATACTTTTAATCGACGAGACTATTTTTCGGTAAGGAATCAATCCTCATGTCGCTAAATTCGATCAGAGTTCCATCCATTAGCAGATCTATATCTGATGGACACCACTGGTTTTTATCGCTTCAGAGAAATTCGACTTTAGAAGGTATAATTTCCCTACTTTTACGATGGAATTAATGAAATATTTGACAATATTTAATATTTGCGATAAAATCACGTTAATCCCTTAAATATAACACGATAAATAGTTCAATCTACTCGCAGATTGACACTTTATTTTCTCTACGCATAATGTGGAAACGTGTAATTAATCGTGGATTTTTCCGTCGCCATTAATAATATTTTTTGAAATTGTGTGAAATTTTTAAGAAATTACTTTTATCCGTTATCACTGATAAATATCTTGTAATTATATGCTGAACTTTGATCAAGATTAGGTACATTTCGAATATTCTGTGTGATGTTCAAATCATTTATTTAAATGGGTGACGATACATACTACTGACTGATAGATATGAGTAGTCTGACACCAGTCACATGCACCAGTATTGCTTGCTGGCCATATCAAAGTGATTTAAACACTGGACAACGGTTATTTCTTTCGAATCGGGGTCGAGCTCATCAGTTGTGTGCCCGATATGACTCAGTTCAGAGAACTGAATCAATCCCCACAACCCAAATTCTGCCCAGCAACTTGGACGAACTGATAATACTTTAAGTCAAATCCGCAATTTGCAATTTACTCAGTACGATTTTGATGTGGTTATGTTCTCTGAGCTGGATAGTTAATTTGCGAAGCTTTCATCACCCTACTTGGCGACATCTTCAGCGCATACTTCAATTTGAAGTGAACTTTTAGATTTCTCCACGAGTTTATTAATCATCTCTCCCAGTGACCTTGGGCGTGATTGGTTGTTTTTGTGTGTTTTCACACCTTCTAGGCTACTTGTATTGTAACTGATTGTTTCTTTGACTTGAACTTTGACCCTTGGTGTGTGAGGTTTCTTCCTTATCGGTTGATAAATTTTGTCAATTTCGATGTGTCTATTGATTGATGATTCACTTGAATGCCAAGCTTCTAAAAATTCTCTAGCATTCTTGTTGTTTCTTCGGTGTAATATTTGAACATTATCCCAATCGAATTGATATCCGTGGTTGTCTGTATGTAGTGATATGAGGGAGTGGATATCATGTCTTTTGACAGCTAGTTTATGTTCGTGGATACGAAGACGAAGGGGACGTCCACTTTGGCCAATGTAGTGTTTTTCGCAGTTGTTACAATTTATTTTGTAGATGATGTTGGTTTTATCTTCTTTCGTTGTTGAGTCTTTTGGTTGACATAGAACTGAGTGAAATGATTTTGTTGGTTTGTGTGCGACGTAAATTCCTTAAGGTTTGACGAGTCTTGCAGTGATTTCTGAAGCTTTGCATTCCAGTGAACCATCAATCAATAGACACACCGGAAGAGATGATTAATAAACTCGTGGAGAAATCTAAAAGTTCACTTCAAATTGAAGTATGCGCTGAAGATGTCGCCAAGTAGGGTGATGAAAGCTTCGCAAATTAACTATCCAGCTCAGAGAACACAACCACATCAAAATCATCCACGTGAGCTACAAATCTTCTCCATCATATCTACTCATTACGATGTTTAGATCCTTTCAATCTGACTAGCAAACACTAATGGTTGATGTGAGTGGTGTCCAAATACTGTCAGTAGTATATGGCATCATGCATCTGTGCTTGTTTTCGTTATTGCTATTCATGACCTGAAGGAAGGAAAGAAGGTGTGGTGAAATTTCTCTCTTTCGAACTTAATTGGGACAAGCTATTGTGTATACCCAAATATACCCACACATGAAACAGCAGGTGAGGTCGTTGTAGATATAGTGTGAGTTAGAGTCTGTAGAATTTAGTTTTTGTTTTTCAATTATGGTCACTTGTAAGTTCTATCTATTCATAAGAATGCTTTACATCGACCAAAGTGGGTGTCCCCTTCGAATCAGAATCCAGGAACACAAATTAGCTGTGAAAAGACATGATATATATTCCCGTTTCATATCAATGCATGTGGATAATTATGGACATCATTTTGATTGGGATAATGTCAAAATTCTAAACAGAGGAGATACCAAAAGTGATGGAGAATTCTTAGAAGCCTGGTACACAAGCGAATATGCGATTAACAAACATGTTTATATAGACCAAATCTGCCAACTAATAAAAAGTAAATCATATGGCGAGAAAGTTTCGAATCCAAGTCAATAAAAAATGATCAGTACAGATGTAAATCGACTACCAGTCACGAAGATGGTTACCAGGAGACGCAATTCTATCATTCATGGAGAATTTAAATCAGTTCATTTGATGCTAAAACTTGCGCTGAAGATGTTGTCCAGAAGGACGACGAAAGCTCCGCAATTAAACCAACCACCAGCTCAGAGAACACAACTAATTGTAAATGGTTTTTTCCGTTAATTTTACAATAAAAAATAATGATAATAAGCCACCACTTTTGCTAGTACTAATATAGAAAGACTTATGTAACCATCTTTTCACTTAAGAAACTTTCTGAATGTAGGGTTGTGTGTCAAATGTAAAAGTTTTGCTTCACTATTTTGTTAGTACACTATATTTATTCCCTTTGATAAATCTTATTACTTCTAATATCTAGATTACAACAGAAAATCCTATCGACCCCTTATGGTTCAATGTATATCCATCAATCGATTTCAAGTTATTGGATAGGATTATTTCACCAACCTACAGATCGATTATTTCCCCTAATGGTCAAATTATTCGTTTAACATCGGTGAATGATCCTAATCATGCTGTAAGGCCTTCAGCATCGTCTACACTTCCCTGCAGTTTTCTTCATTTGAATTCAAATGATAAAGAGGTAGTTTTTTCGTTGTTATATTCTTAGCTAGAGCATTAGTTATATATTTATTTGTTAATTATAACTAGAAGATATTTTTCTAAAAAATTTTTATTGTGATTAAATTTTGCGCAGATTCGCTTTATTTTATCCCCTGTCTTTAATGAATTTTATACACACTTGTACATGAAGCGTAAACAACAAAATTTGGATTTTCAACACAAACGTCAGGTTAATGCACATCATCGTCAAAAGTATTTTTTTTATTACAGCTTAATTCCACACCGTACTTTTGGTACAGGTATGGAATTTTCAGCATGTGGTATCGGTAGCCCAAATTACACAGGCCGACCATAGATATGAGGTGTACGTCGGCAGAGGATCGAACTCTGCACCATGTGCATGATCGGCGAGAGTTCTAACCGCTGTGCCACCGACTCACAGACTGCCGAATTTCACCAACAGCCGTCTTCGTTCCATACTGAAGATCAGCTAGCCAGAAAGGATTAACGACAAGTAAATGGAGATGGATTGAACATATGCTGAGGTGACTATTCAGTGAAATCACACATCAGGCTGACTGACATTTGAGTGGGACTCGAATGGGGAAACGATGAGTTGGGTGTGTCTTTGAGGGTGACATGGAGGGGATCGTGTGATGAGGAGATGACAGCCTATGGGCAGTCGTAGAGTCCGCCAAAAAGGACAATAGAGAACAGAATGAAGTGGAGATATGCTGTTGGAGCTATATGCTGCACTCTAAACCTAAGGCAATAATAATATACACACGTAATGGCATTTATCGATAATAGTGAACGAACTCTGTGATTGCACCAAGATAATCACTATTCACATTAGGTCTTAAAAGTGTACAATTATGTAATAAACTGTGTTCGACAAAAATAGGTAAATAATGCCTGAAGAAACATTCACTGTCATTTGTTAGTTTAGTTTATTTCTTAGTTTGAATGTAGTAAATAATTTTGTTACGCATACAGAATGAATTAAATGGCGTTTCGTAGTGTTTTTTGAGTTGAAATAGAGGTTTAAATAATCTCCTTAGCGTTCACAACAGTGAACAACTACAATTCTTGGAGTTATTTAGTACTGTTGTTGTTGTTGACTGTGATATTATAGTTATGTGGTTGCGAATTTTCTTTGGAATAACTTATTTTTGTTTTATTACTTTGCTTTACGGGTGGAACATATGGCTTCAAGCTTGAACTTTGAAGTTTCAGTAGCATTGGTTTTATTTTTTACAGGATGGGGTTGCTAGCCCTACGCCCAACCTTCCCTCTTTAGGAATTCGTCGGCCGGGATTCGAACCTTGGTCCACAAGCGTGGTTGGTGAGCATTATACTACTGCACCACTGACTCCCTAGGACCAGCGATCTTATCCCGGGAAATCAATCCAGTCACTACAGAATTTGCAAAGCACAGAAGAAATACGTACAAAATAAGCTTGTTCTTCACTGGAGTGGGAGATGGGAAATGACACAGGCTGATGTCTTCTTTTCATAATCTACTCCGGTCATTCAGATGATAACCATTAACACACAGAAGGTGGGTTCATCATGATCTCACCAACAGCATCGAAGGCTCTTGTGAAATGAGAACCAGTTTCCTCCAGGATCATGACGGCAAGATTCAGTTCAGAAGGAAGGACAATTACCATTACGCAATAGTATGCACCTGCAAACAATACAGTTGAGAGGAGAAAGGTGACTTCTACAGACAGCTGCAACTAGTAATGGACTACATCCCAGCCAGATGACGACATGGATGGTATGAATGGCAGCCGAACTGGGAGCAGACAATACGAGAAGACAATGTATCATGCAACATCACTAAGTAAACTTGCGTAGAAGGACACTGGTACACTGCGGAATCACTGTAGAAGGAAACCTGTATAGCCATTTTAGGTAGGAAGGAGAGGTAAGAGAAGCACTAAACCTACGAACATAATCCCAACCTTCCCCCTTTACGGAGTTTATTACCGACTGAGCGAGGTTTAGGGGTGCATTGACGGGGGATAGAACTCAGAGCCACATGCGTAGTCGTCGAATGTTCCACCGCTGCATCACCGACGAACTGCAGTGGTAATTAACGTACTGAAATTGTACTTCACTTGGTTTGCTTTTTTATACCTTTGTTTATTTGAGACATTTTTCTCAACACTGTTGCATCTCATTTTCACGTAACTTGTATTCTTATCTCATTGCATAGGTGTTAACATGGCTCACCTAATCTCAACTTTTGCTATACTGTTGTTAGGATGATAAAAGTTTGGAAGGAAAATAAACTCAAGATATATGTATTAAATGTATTTGACAGTATAAATAAACTAATATACTTGAACAAAGCAAGAACAACAATTGTACCAGGATAATATGAGCTCATTTTTTATTATTTCGAGGATTCTTCTCAACTGGTTACAACCTGAACGATGAAAAATATGAATTACATTACATTAAAGATTTGAACATAATTTTCCACGATCACAAGGAGTAATTGGTAGGAAGTAAAAGTAGCATTAGTCCGGAATGATTTAACTAATTAAGAGTTACAAACACTGACTATTTATAGAATAATTCAAATGAACTGTGATCAATATTTGACAGTTTATAAATATTAATAGAATAATTAGGCAATTAGGCTTGGAAACAAAAACAAGCTGTTGTATATATATATATTTTTTTTCTTGTCACCAAGTCAGTGCAAGATTCACCACTGTCTCTGTCACCACTGAGCTCATATTATCCTGGTACAATTGTTGTTCTTGCTTTGTTCAAGTTTATTAATGGGAAGAATTGCATGAAGTTTTTAAACTAATATAATAAGAAAATTTAGATAAATTAAGAAATGAAGAGTTTCAAAAATTAGTGTCATTGTTAAAAGTCTAAATAAAAATAGACTGTAAAGCAAAAGATTCAACTAGATCGTCACACGCACATACACACACTTCTAGAAAGATGTGCTTGTATCTTATTGTCTACAATAAACGAGTCTTTTGAAACTTTGTCCGGATTTGAATCATTGATACTTGTGTAGATGGCTTTTCTAAGCCCACACTGAAAGTAGTAGTGTCATGAAGATGAAGATAATTCCTTTGTATTTATGATTCGTGTTTCTAGCACCACAGGAACAAGCGAGTTATCGTTTACAGTTGATAGCGGCTAGCATTATAACGATTCCTTCCCAGCACATTGTTTTGCCACTGGAAGGCTATTGTAGGAAATGTGTTGTATCCCTGCATTGAATTCTTTTTGCTGGCTTATGTCAATTTTCGCTTTAACACTCTATCTACTTTGTCTTCGTAGAATTAAAGAACGGCTTGTTGTTTCTCTACACTATCGATTACCTGATAGTTAATGCCTTTCATCGTCAGCCCTAGTTAACAAAATATCGACGAGTAATATGAGATCGCATTTTTTCGTGAAATTATTTGCGCTGAAATATGTTATGAACCATGCTTTCGTTATCAGCATACCTGCTGTAATATCGTATCGAGTGAAGCTTTTTATATATATATATATATATATATATATATATATATATATACGCGTATTACTGCTTTCTTACGCCGTATCTAAGATACATTGTCATAAAATGGAAACAATTCTGCTCGTAAGATTTAAAGTATTGAAGAAGTTTTGTGGACGATTTTGGCACTTTTTTATGCTCTCTAGGTTGGTTGGTTTATTGCAAAGCTATCGCTGTTTTTCTAGGCAGCATCTTCAGCATAAAGTTATTTCAACTGGTGAGATGTATTCTGTTTGAAATTGTATTAATCCTAATTTTATTAGAATTGTGTAACTGTGGCTCATCGGTTTAAAAACTTGTCTTCCAACCAGTGGGCCACGCTCTACTTACCGATGCCTCGGGATCGTCACCAACTTCTTCGAATCGTCAAGAGTTTGTATGTAGGGGTTTGATTTGTTTCAAGTTTGTTCATAGTTCATAGATTTATATCAGTTAGAGACTCATTGAAGACCAGGGTGTACTGGACAGCTGTTTCATCCTAGTTTGGGAATCATCAAGCCGAATAACTCTATGGTAATATCTTTAACTTCCTCACTGGGTAGCGTGGGTTCAAATCTCAAAGGGGGCATGCGTTCTTTCGAGATTGCAAACATACTCTGCTGACTGGTAAGTGTCAACAAGTACGAAAGCTAAGCCAGTCAGACATTCCTACTGATGAGTCGCAAACCAGGACGAAACACGGCTGTTTTTCAATGGTTCAAGGTTGAACAACATAACCACTTAACTGTAAGAAGTGTTTACCAGTCGATTATGTAATTTTGATTTCAGTGATTCAAATAGAAACACACTGAAACAGTAATACTCGATTGTATTCATTGGCTGAAACCTAATTTTGTGCGAATGAAACCTCTATTTTTTTCTTTTTCTTTCATTGTCTAGGCAGCATCATATTTCCCTATACCGATAGTTCAAACACGTGCTGTTCGTTTTGTTTACGATCCATCACTTCAGATAAATGAATATAAAACGTTTAGTAATTCACAAATCCATCTTGTCTGCGCTAATGATATTCCACTAGTGTCAACTAAGTTTTTCTACCATCATTAATTATTATTAATAGTGTGTGTGTATGCGTGTTTTTGTGATTGTGCAAAATTTCAACTATTAAATTACTAATATAGCCTTATTGTTTAGCAGCCTTTTCTTCCTGTATTATTATTATTATTTGAAGATTAGTCGTTATATAATATGTAATATGTAAAGTATTTATATATTTGTTTATTACTTTTTTTTAAAAAGCCTTTTGTTTTTTATCCTTGATCACATCCTTCCAATCAGTTTAATCTCTTTTTATTTTGTACTAGACATATTATATTCCTGTTGAATGAGTAATTGTGTAAAGACGGTAGAATATTTTCTTGTCAAGCGGATTAGTTTCCTTTTTTTTCTGAACTCTATGAGTTTGTTTTGATTTTAACAGAAAAATAATGATAATTGTTGAATAATATTTGTTTATTTATTTATCTTTGTTTGCTATTGCCATTAGTCAACATATGCATTTCAGTAGTTTGAATTTCTGTTAGTCAAGAATTGTAGATAAATCCTTGGAAGTTAATTTCAATGAATGTCTGGCTGACAGATTAACGTGGAGTCATCTTGCACAGAAGTACGATGGTTAATCCATACCATGCTTCTCTGGTTTTGGACGATGGTTGACAGTCGAACGCAAACAGACTTCAAACCGTTTATATATTCAGTCAGTTCATTCACCATGTTGGCTTGGTCAGCATTCACTTCCGTATGCGGTGAATGGAATTATCTCACCTAGCTTTACAGGAGACCCAGCGGTTTCCTCTCCAGGTCTATAAAAACATATTTCAGCAGCGTCATGTGTTCTGAGACACTGCTTCTTGACTAGTCCACCTCCCTTCGCGGATCCTCATTGTGTTTCGATAAAGTGACAACCTATTCATTTCTCCTTTGAAAAACTTTCACCCACATTTCTAATGAGAGACATTATACTTGACAGCGTATCGTTACACACACAAACACAATGACACCTTCTGTTTCACATAGGCGCACATTCATCTCTCCATTGGCATTCTCAAGTGTGCAATGATGTTGGTCATCGCATCCCTGAGTGTCTGTACTTAAGGAATAGGGTTCTGTAGTTGCATTAAGTACTACACTCTCTGGTCTTCTATGACTCTGAATGACACGAACAGGTCCGATCACTTCTTCGTCTGAAAAGGCTGCAACACTTGAGTCTATAATCTGAGTGCAGTCAATCTACCACAATACCCATTAGTGCATCACAAAAAAGTCTCTACTGATATCCTATCCTCAACACCACACAAAAGTAACTTCGACTTCGTTACTTTATATAGCTAAAGTCAACGTAGAATTAGAGACAATAATTAAATGATGATACGTTGTGATGTTCAGAATTTTGAACGATTTAAGATCAACTAATAACATTTAACAATCATGAAGACCTTAGCTGGGCAGTTCAAATGATATGCATTAGCAGTGAGGGATTGTTTCTCTTAGCAAAGTGATCACTCAGCAAAATTAACATATGCTGTATTGACCTTATCAAGTAGGAGTTCATGTATTGACCTTCTTTTCTATTTAAAACTATACCTTTGATCTTCACACCAGTGCTATAGGTGACTAACTTGTAATATGTGATAATAATAGTTTCAAAAGCGAGAAAAAATAACTTCAGAACACTCAGAACCTAGGTGGTAAATATGGTCGGTCATTCACTGCACCTGAATACATATAATGAACGCTTATTTTACTTACAGGTTTCTCGCATTCCACTGATTACTTTTTAATATTTCTGCCAAGAACATTTACCTGTTTGCCAGTATTATTTTAAAAAATTAAGAATCGAATCACCTTTTAGACATGATGTGTACCATTCTTTCTCCTATTATTCACAGTACAGTTTCCATTGGTAGCTGGTAATCATTTCTCTGACAGTATTTTAGCTGATAAAGTCATTGTCATTATGTGTTTGGTGAGTACCATGCTGGTCGAGTACAGAATTTCTATGAGTGGTCTCTATGTTCTGGATTTCCATACTGAATCTGGAAGTTACCCACGCACCTCCATATCCTGTATGTAGATTATCCTCATGAATATGAATGGCAAGGTTCTTCATCATTTTGCTTTCTCTGACATCAAATCTATCTCTCTGCTATTTGATAATTTTCGTGCCAATGGACTTTTCTTTATATACTACTGTTGTGGTGGACGCTCGTTGGTTATCTTCATCACCTCCGTCTTCTCTATGGTCACTTGGAGTCCTGTCTTCTCTGCTTCTTCTGCCCGTTTTTTTGGTTTTCGTCTGCAAGTCTTCGAGTTTGTGTGACAGATATAAAACATCCACACACGAGTCTTCTTATCGGTGGTCCACTGTATTCCTGTCTCCTCGCTTCCCAAAGTTCCATAAAGTATTCCCATGATGTTTGTCCGTCAGATATTGCTAACTAGAGAGACTGTTGACAGACAGGGATAATTACCTAAATTTATGGAGAGATCTCTATTGGAATTGTGGAGTGTCTATCGATGATCTGAGGGATAAGATATTCGTCAGATAATGGATTTAAAGAAGTAGAACTCTACATTCTAATCTAAAGTGAACATAGATAGGTCCAACTTATTCGACATTTGGATAGATGAAATGATATATTCTTTTTACAGAACTATCTAAAAAGCTTTATAATACTGTCATTATGCAATTCCATATTCATACCATACAAATAATTGATGTCTTGATAAAACCTGATGTCGTTTAATTCTAATCTTGGTTGATTTATTGTGCTGCAGTTTATTCCATATTAGTTTGTTTATTAGATGTATCACACAGTGAAACAGTATTATTTACTGGATGACGATTCGGACACAATTTATTGTTCTTAATCGTATCAATTATAATCACACAACTTTGAAACTTGAGTTTTATAGTTTTCTTTATTCTCTCCTATTCGTCATCGTAGGGGTAGTAAAATTTTCCAGATATCTGGGACAGGTGTTGAATCATTCGTATTACACGTGTTTGCAGTTGATTCGATAAGCAAAGCTCCTGTGATCAATCTCTCCCTCCACCCTGAGACATTAGATTTTAAAACTGTCATCTTATCCCATCCATCCTATTGTATGATTGTGTGTAATTGCATGTATTGCTGCTATAGCTGAACTATTCTCTAGATTTCTTATCTTATTTGGGTCAAGTAATCTAGACTTTGCTAGGATTTTATGCTCCACTAGACTGACTGCCCCTGTTCTACTACTTTGACCTATGTATCTGACCTGACAATCATCTCGGGCAGGGTATTAGATAGACTAAATTGTTTTGTTTTAAAGGCTTCACAGGATCCTTTAACCGACAATGCTTGTTTCTAATTGAGTTTGTGATTGGTTTGAATGCCAATCACTTTTATTCCTGCCTTGTTAAGAATTTTGAGTAAGGTTTCCGTGGTTCCGTCTTTGTGTGGAAGTACTACTGATGATTTAGATTCCTTATTGTTGGTGTTATCATTATCCTGCGCATGTTTGACATGCATGTCGTCATTAATATTATTACCACTATCACTGCTATTATTATTTATTTTATTTTTCCAGTTCCCTACATACTTTCTGATTATCAGGGTAGTTACTCAGTTTCAAAGCTTCTCTTATATGCCTCACTTCCTGTCTTAGATTTTCCTTGGTTTTTGTGCTCTATTACTTAAACATTTCACCACTCCTATTTTCACTGACATAGGATAGGATGATCGGAAGTCCCAATATCTGTGTGAATGTGTGGCTTTTCTGTAAACACTATTGTTTAACTTTCCATCTTCTTTCCTTTTTACGCTACAATCTAACATTGGAAGCCCCCCTCCCTGACTTTCCAATTTACAAGTGAATTGAATTGCCTCAACCTTTGAGTTAATATGTTCGAGAAATCTATTTATATCCTGTGTTCTAAGTCAGGTGAATTTGTCATCGACATACACATTCACTGTAGCGAAACAACTTACCAGAATTCCCTATTTTTCAATAGTTCTTTAACTGATCAAACTTTAAACAAAAATAGATTATGATAAAAATAAATTGAGTGAAGTATTTATTTTTTTATGATTCATTAAGTATAATGTTACTAATCAATATCATTTTCTGAACTAATCTACTGTAATGAAGAGATTTTTCAGGAAAACTTATATTTATTCGCATTTATATATATATACACTTCGGTTTTTGGGAACTACTACTAAGAAGTAATATTTTATTTTTCATGTATTTCCGAGTTAAGCCAAATAGAGGAATACTTTATCCATAAGATTATTCAGAAAACTACAGAAACAGAAACCATTATGCGTAATGAAGCACAAGATTTATGAATAATAACAAATCTTCATACAACTGGTTCCCTTGATAAATTTCGATAAAGAAAGGAAGACGAAATTTGCAGTATAAAATGATATCATTCTATTTCACAGGTTCTCATCAGCTGCAGACCACCTGAAATTACAATGGTTATATAAATGATAATAACATACTTTAATGTTTGATTAGTAGTAGAGAAAAGATGAAATTGACGCATCCAAAAAAGAATGAAAGCATTACAATTTTTAGTTTAAGTTATCATCATCAATTTATACACTTTCAGAGTTGAAAAGAGGGGGGAGGAATACTACTAATCAAACATTAAAGTATGTTATTATCATTTATATAACCATTGTAATTTCAGGTAGTCTGCAGCTGATGAGAACCTGTGAAATAGAATGATATCATTTTATACTGCAAATTTCGTCTTCCTTTCTTTATCGAAATAACAAATCTATCTAGATAGTGATTTTTGGTGAATCTTAGATTTATTTACAGTCTTTTATTAAGATAAATGTGGTGGTGAGCGGCATATTCTTTGTAATATAATTCAGTGAGAACAATAAGTTCTATATATTACCATTTCAGCTTTAGAATTTCAAAAACAGTGCCCACTATCCACTTGGGAGGACTGGGTTTGATTCCTGATCAAAGCACTCACTGATAAACCTAACCTAACCAGCAGTAGGTACTGGAAGCGGAAAGGTTGGGCGTGAAGATAACAAACAAACCTTGTAAAAGCCCTATTTTTTTTATTGGAATTCAAGAAGTGAAAAAAAACTGAGAGCCATCCTGAGACTTTGTTGTATGATCAGAGATTGCAGTCACCCTTGAACGATGAATTAATATAACTACCCATTCTGGGGTCTGTTGGAATCGGTTAGATCTATTGTTTAACACCTCTGTGTAGTGTAATGAATTTCAAGTGACAGTTTTTATCTTATAATAAATGCTTCTGTGAAGTTTTTTATTTCTTCTTTAATGGTATCCTCAGTACATATGTATTGATTATATCAGATACGGTCCCCTCCAAATGAGCTTCCTATTGTTTTATTCTTTTACATTCTCAGTGGAACGTATGTCTTTAAGCTAGAGGCTTTACCGTTCAAGGGCCATGAAAAAAGACTCAGAGTGGCACTATTGCTTTAGAAGACCGATTTCTACTCATATTGTAGCAACAGAAGACAAGGGCTAGACAACAGATCGTTTATTTAGGAAATCAACAGATATTTATATATTTTCATGTACATTATTATAGATTATTTTAAGCGAACAAACACAGTCTTCTGATTGGTGATTTCTCGTTGAACGTTAATCTTTCAATATTATGTCATTGAAAAATTCTAGAAGTAGCAGAAACAGTAAGGACTCCATTTATTCACTCAGTGAATTTCGGAAACAAAGTTAGGTGCTGAACTACAGTTTGAATATTGCAACTAATCAAGTTTGAAAGATATCGTTTGTAGTTTGTAAATCTGGTTTCAGTCGTTATTCAGAACTTAACCAAGATGTCTGCGTAACCGTAAATAACTCCCACCAGAGGTGAGGACGACTATTGAAAAGCAGGTATTTAACTCACCTTTCATAAATTTCAATCTTTTTGAAGGTTATATGACTTGCTTGTGTAGACATTAGTAATGGTGCACCATGCAGTCACAACCTGATAAACCTTCTTATTTACCTTATCTAGTTTTTATGAAGGGGACAAAGCTCTTATCCTCTTCTACTTTTACAAACGCCATCAAAGTAGACTGCTTGTGAGGTCATTCTGAAGTCAGGACTGCATGTCACGTATTTCCCACTTTTCATATAGTGTTCACCAGACTTTATTTTACTTATGTTTCCCGTTAAGAGGACTCTTTGCTAACTAATATGGACTATGAAAATCAAACTTTATGAATTTAAACGAGGAGAAAGACGATTCTATTAAAGTTAAATAAACATATCTAGGAGGCATCGAATAAAGCAATTCTCTAACAGGACATTTCCTTACTAACTGTTGAATGGTCACAGATACTGAAGAGTTTAAGACATGAATTTACCAAGTAAGTCTTCAGGTTGGATGATTTAGTGTTTAATGTACAAGAGCTAAGTAGTAAAGAGATTTTAAACATTTTTTCAAATATATGAAGCTTACGTTCATCAATTTGATATTTAAACAAGCTTCCTTACTTATCTGGAAATTAACGGTGTATGTATGAACCGGTTTGGTAAACACAGCTATCTCAAACAGTCCATATAATGCAAACACTTTTCTTCATTTTAGAATTCTCTAGCCTACATCCTATGCTCTTTTGTTATTAAAAGTAAAATAAAAGACGTTACATTAATGAGATTTCCGTTTAGTATCTATCATGTGTCCTTATATGTAAACTAAACAAAGAATAGTAATAATGAATCTAATTTATTGTTTGATGAACTCAACAAAGTTTAAAGGATTTGTTTGCTCAGAGATTCACGGTCATAATACATGTGTACACTTTATTCAAGGGTTAGTTTTACGTGAAAGGGAAGCAAATGCGTATAGTGGAAATATTTATTTCTTTATACGTATCTAAAACAAAAAATAAATAATAGTAAATCAGGATTTCATGAATTCATCGAATCTCGGTAGAACTCTTCGGGTGAATACAGTGTTATAGGTACAACGCGAAATATGTAAAGAGACATTCGAACAATAAATAAACCACCATGGCTCATTTATAGCAAAAAGGATAAAAATGTCGCACAGGTCAACTTTAAGTCGATTCAGGGTGAAAGGGTGTGAGGAATTGAAAATTAAGATTGTAATGGATTACATTTCAGTTATTGTTATGACACTTGGTAGTTTGCTCTAACAAACTTCATGCCTAGTCGATTTGCTAGCCTACTGTTCTAATCACTTTCGGTGGCACAGTGGTTAGGACTCTCGCCGACTATGCACATGGTCCGGGGTTCGATCCCCTGCCGATGTATACCCGATATCCATGGTCGGCCTGTAAAATTTGGGCTACCGATATCCATGCTGAAAATTCCATACATGTACTGAAAATACGGTGTGGCATCAAGCTGTAATCAAAAATAAAAAAATAAAAATAAAAACAACAACACGAGAAGATACCACCGAACTCGCGACACAAAAAGATAGACCGTTGATGTAGGGAGCTTTTACTGTCTCCAAACAACAGCGAAAAGGATTGACAGCACTTGTGTATATATTTGCTTTAAAAAGCCTTGAGAGACACTAATTAAAATGATAAGTTAAAGCAGCCAACAACCAAAAGGTTTCCAAGGTCACAAGGGTACAAACAACACTGTACTATAAAGATAAATGTAGTATTTTAGAAAAATTAAGTGTACGTAACGGTTATGTCACTATAATGAACAGTTAGTTATCAGAAAGAGAATTTGAAAGTATTAAGAATTATAAAGTGAATAGTAATAATAATAGTGGTAATTGTGATGCAAGTTGAGATAATGATACTGAAAAAAGTAATTCTAAACGAGCTAAGAATAAACCTCCCCTACTTTACTAGTTCACTAGTCTACTAGCCGGTCCTAAGCCTGGAAAAAGAGAGAGAATTGAACATAGGGCTAGCAATCCTACCTCAGAAAATCAACTCAGTCGTTAAGGTGACTACATGGCACATAAAAGCTCCTTAAAACTACTTATTCTTCTGTGGAATCGGAGAAAGAAAATGACGTGGGCTCTAGAAAATCTGTTTTTGCCGAAGATTTATATCTAATATCACACAGTCTCGAAGGTGTACAGGAGAAAAGCAAAAAGTTGGCAGAAGAAACAGTGAAAACAGGAATTCAGGTGCGCATTGAAAAGACAGAAGTGATGAAGATACGTAACCACCACCACCTGCAACGACAGCCACCAATCCCTATCATTTGAAGAAATTTGAAAGTGGTCACCTCTTTCACTTATCTAAGTAACATGGCTTCAAATATGAGTAGCACAGAAAAGGACGTCAAAGGTCGGTCATGTCAGAAAGCAAAAGAAAGATTCTGGCCTTAAACACTATTATCAAGTCATTTACTCAATATAGATCAGTGATTCAGCGCGTAACGCAAAGCATTTCCAACAATCTGCTGAAGATTTTCATCAACAGCTGCCTTCTCTCAACATTGATGATCAGATGCCCAGAAAGAATTGGCAACAGGAACTATAGGGACGAACTAATTAAGGACCTGTTGTCCAACAAACATCTAGAAGGAAATGAAGAAAGATCGGATACATGCTGACTAGACCGTCGAGTGACGTCACGCATTAGGCTGTCCCTCTAGTGGGAAACGACAAGTTGGGCGTCCGAAGGTGACGTGGAGAAGATCGTGTGATGAGAAGGCTAAAGATTATGCTGACTCGTAGAGCCAGCTAGAGGACTGCAGAGAAAAGAGTGGAATGGAGATATGCTGCTGAAGTCATATGTTCCACTAGGAATCAAAAGAAATAGTAATGTATGAGATAAATTAGGAATTATAATAGTTAACTAAGTAAAAGATCTTACCAAGGCAGGTTTAGAGTGATCACTGCTTACTTCTATACAGACAGACCAAGTTCATAGACCCTAAGCTGTTCAGCTGCAAGCATTTTTCTGTTTGTTTGTCTGCTAAAATCAGTGATTTACTCGAAAGCCTCAAAATCATATCTGTAGGTGGTAAGAAACTTTTTTATTGAATTATTCAATTTCTTAGCTTCAGCTTTTTTCAGTCACTTGGCCAAATGCTCGATCATGTGATTAGGCAGTCGCCTTTCTATCTGATCCGCAACTGCACTCAAGCTGATATACGCAGTGATAAGTGTGAGACGTTGGCAACCGGTCTCTCTCACAGATTGTTGGACTACTAGCCTGGTGATGTTGACGAATATCAAATACATGAATGCTTACTACTTATGCCCAGTCCTAAAATCTCATCTTTCCAAATTAATTTTTATTTATTTCATTTGTTTTTCGTTATTTAAATATGAGAAGTCAAGTTCTGTGTCGTACATTATTTTTGACTTGCTTTTTCCCCAAATTGCTGAAATAAGTAAAACGTAACACTATTATGATTGTTTACAATATAAAGGAGAAACTGCAAATCTAAGAGTTTTTCCATAAAATAATATTGAGTAATGGTTGTGGTACAATAATTCTTATTAGGTACCTGGAATTGTTTCACACTAGATTGAAATGGCTGACAACCACTACTAGTGCGATACCTGCAGAACATGATAAACTTGAAGGAGTAAATGTTTCCGTAATAAAAGAAGACCAAATGCATCGAGAAATTATAGTGGTTTTGAGAGTTTTGGTAGCACACATAATGTATAATAGGATTTCAGAGAAGCAAGCAAGACCCTAAAACAGTAGTTGTTAACTGGGAGGCGCTGCTGAGCCATGATGAAGTGTAATAAAATATTCTTAGCGTTTTTAAATTTTCGATTGTTGCAAGGATTACTACAATCCTGGGGATGCGTTAGTTCACTCTTACGATATTGTAAGATATGAACTCTTCACAAATATGATAGTATTAGCTTGATAGTGTTTGAGCGATAGTTTCTGAAAATGGGGAGGTTCCTTTTAGTGCATACAAATAACTGTCTAGGAAATACTATCCAGTCATAATTTTGTAAGAATGGAAAGAGGTTTCCAAGTGTTAAGTGATATATATATATGTATATATATAAATGTATGTATATATACATATATATGTATATATATATATATATAACCAGTCATGCGTTGGTGGCACAGTAGTTAGAACGCTCGCCGACCATGCATATGGTCCGGGTTTCGATCCCCGGCCGACGCACTCCTTTACCTCACTAAGCCAGAAATAATGCTGGTGAAGAGGAAAGGTTGGGCATGAGGCTAGCAACCCCATCCTGTAAAATAAGCACTGCTACAGAAACTTCAAGCCACTAGCTTGAAGCCTTATGTTCCAATGGGGAACGTGAAGGGAAAAAAACAAATCATAGCAAGTACGTTTTTATTCAAGGTATGTAGATGATACATTTGTTGAATATGATGATACCCATCATGCAGAAATACTGCTGCAGAAGTTCAGCAGTGACCATTCGGACATAAAAGACGTAATATCAAGGACGTTTCTAGCCACCAAACTGATCCTTCTGTATAAAACAACCTGTTAGATTACATAGTTCAAACTAGCTCAATTCCCGGCACTCATCAGCTCCAACTGAGTTTGTGAATTTACATGTACATGCAGTAGCAAGTATGTAGGAGGAATGGAGAGACATTTCTACGAGGATTATTGAGCATGAGCACAAGCGTCTACGTTTTAAGGGTCCAACATCACTTAACAGCGCTGCAGCTTGGAACTTGGCTGATACAAGGCACCGGATCAACATAAAAGAATCTATTTAGGTAGTAAAGAGAAGAAGCACTTCATATCTACTTCGAACTACTGAAGCTGTGACCATCTGAAGAGCTAAACTTGAATTATGTGTACGAAAAGAGACTGGTACTAACTACTGTTACTATTGTGGTAAGCACAGACTCTTTTACCTTGACTTTTCGAAATTTCACTTCATTTTTATGACGTAACTCGATAATTGCATTCATCTGCTTACTTACTAATTCTTAATACCTTTGCTATTCTTAATCTCTTTCATTTCGGTTAAATAACTTTGCACATGATTTTATAGGCGTTTCCAGTTATGCTTGAACTACCCTTGAATTTCAGAACATACTTCTATGTCTAGCATATTGTCTCTATTTTGGTCATAAGTGATTACTCTAACTTCCCGCATAGTTTGTATCTCGTCACATTTTCGGAACATTATTTTCCTTTTATAAAATGAACTGGCTATTAAATGAAAGTATGTTTAGATTATTTCACAATCATTGATTATATAGTTTGTTATTCGGGTTGTACGCAGCTGATGAAAATTCTAAGAGAAAATACCTTCATCATATTCTACAAAAGAAGTTTTTATTGCACTATTTGAAATTATCAAGTATTGATTAGCAGCGGTTCGATTGGTTACACGTTTAATCACGAGCCGACATCAGTTAGAGGACCACTGGAAAACTAGGGAATACTGATTGTCTGTTTTGTCTTAGTTTGAGACTCCTTAGCAGTACTCGCTCACCAAGTCAGGTGAGAGAGCAATTATTAACCGACGATATTGGCTGGAGGTTGCAATATATTTATATATCGCGAATTTGCAGAAGTTGGAATTCATGGCCATCCAATGGAGTCTTAATGGTTGAATGGTCTACGAGCTCAGCCCGTAACCCGAATTTCCCGGATTCGAACCCTTGTGTGTTCGAACAGTCATAGACGGGGTTGAAACAGCTATTCAGTACTCCGTGGTTTTCCAATGGTTCTTTAAGTTTATATCAGCTCGTGATGAAAACTGTCGTTCATATATATTTCAAGGGAACTAATTCCATGAAATATTGATTACCTATAGTTGAATCAGATTTAACCACTTTCATAGACACTGACTAGTTGACCCAATGTTGTAGCACTGTAAGTTCGAGATACGATTTCTATGTTTCACTGTCAGTAGATCGTTGAAAATATACGTTTGCAATATTAATGAGTATGTCTTCTTGGAATTACCAGTTTGGGTCTGGGAAGAAATTTCTAGGAAGCTATGAAACTTTCATTATTGTTAACCTTATTCGTGAGAAGATAAAGCGAACATAACAGTAATATAAATACTGAAAGAAATATCGCTGTATACGCAGCATATCTGTAAGTAGTATAAATCCATTAGTACTCTTATTTGTCATTTTGATGCCATCTATTATGTCACCTTTTGTGGTTTTTCAGAGGAAATCCCGGTTTGGTGTAATTTGTTTTATTAGCTAATGGTTATCCGGAGAACTTTATCACTTATCGCAGTAAGGATAGACCACATCTCGAAAAGACAGCTTCTGTACCAAAGAAAGCTATCTTTGTTAACCTACCATTCAAGGGCGGCCAGATTATGCAGTTGACAGCTCAAAGACTTCGGTCAGCCATCAAACGCACATTCTACGCCGCATCTGTTTTTCTCATTTGCCGAACATTTTCGATCCCTGTACCTACGATTAAAGGACGAAATTCTGTGGACTTCACTTCAAATTGTATCTACAAGTTCACCTGCAGCTGCGGTGACACCTATATAGGTAGAACCAATAGAATGTTTCAATGTCGTTGAAAAGAACATGTTCCAAAATGACTACTAAATCATGTAGAAAATCCCAATGCAATCAATCTGAAAAGAAATCCAGCATCATCCATTGCAAAACACATTAATGTCTGTTCACAAAATCAGTATTAATGACTGTTTCACATAACTCTAATTCAAGGTTATTGAAGGTGATGGAAGCACTTTGGATTAATCACATACAGCCTAAACTGTGTGTACAAAAAACAATAGACTTCAATCTTCGCCTACCATGGACAACATGACCTATCTAAATATGATTGGTCATTAGTATGTACTTTTGTTTTTTATTTAACTGAGTAATTGTCATGAACTTTATTTTATTATTGTTAACCATGTTAGTTGTAAAGCTGATGTAAAGAAAGTATGAAATGATATCATCTGGCGAAATTTGTCTTCTAAATGCCTTATTCTAATTTGTAAATGTCTGATATACTACGGTAACAACCATAGGTTTGATTCGGAGTGGCTCCTGTCGACGAGCCATTTCACATGGTGGCTAAATTGAAAACTTGACTGACAGGTATAGACACATGACATTAGTTACTGTCTAGTGTTCAATCAAAGAATTCTTTAGAGTCCTACAAGAGGTCAATCGTGAACTTGAATAGCTGAGCGGTAATTTCTCAATCTGCAAGACTGAGTAACCCAATTTCGAATCTCAGGAGGGACATGAGTATCTTAAAGATTACAGATACGCTTTGTTGACTGTTGATTGTCAAGAAGCACGAAATCCAGGTCTAGATAGGGCACCCTGACGACTGTCTCCAACCATCTTACAATTTATTTCTCTGTTTAAGAGCAGTTTACTGTTTTAGGCCTTAGGTACATTAGTGACTATGATATTTTTCGAAAAGTGAGGAAAAAAAAGACATTCTGTTTGTTTTCTGTCTTATAATAATTATAATTATTATTACTGATAGTGCTAAAATCATTATGAATCAATTGCACAGTATAATAAATAAATAAATAAATAAGTAAATAAATAGATAAATAAATATAACACTGGTTCACTTTGAAATAATAATCTAAATGCACTGCAACCATAGATATGGAAATAGCACTACATTTTGTTTTATGGTGATAATAACAATTTTGTTATTTTTTATTACCCATTTATGCACACATAGATAGGTAACTCTGTCATCAGTAATTCCTTTTTTTAACAACCAATCAAAATAGAAAGATAGAAAAAGAGACAACCAATCAATCGATCACCTGTCAAATGAGGCGGGACAGATAAATGAGCACAATGTTTACATAAATAAATAAATAATACTTGAAATTATTAATGCTGTAGTACACACAATTTCTCTGATGAGTACAGATGACTAGGCTGAAGAAAGTGAACAGTTGAGTTATTATTTAGGTTGTGTGAGTTTGTGTGTGCATGTGTGTGTATGTGTCGATATTTGTTAGAAATCTAAAAAAATCTAAATACTAAGATGGAAGAAAGAAGTGAAAACGGAAAAAAGTAACCAAAATATCATA